GTTGTGGAGATTATTAAGCTATTGATTGAGATCTTGAATCGATTGATGTTAGACCACCATTGAAAACCTGGAAGCACTGGACGGCCGTTTCGTCCTATTGTGGGACTCCCCAGTAGTGCGATTCTAGGTTTTCAATGGCGGTCTAGCATCAATCGGTTTAAGATCTCAATCAGTTGTTTTATTCACGTGCTATAGATCAACACCAGATTTTTACAAGAAATAATGTATCTAGCTGGTAACATAAATTTAATTCGATTGGTTAAGATAAGAGAAAGGGAATGTAGTTATTATCTGATTTGAAAATTTATAAAATTATATATGTGAATATTAGTTCTTAGTTAAGCCCGATTTCAACAATTAAATTTTATACCAGGAAGTAATAATCTAAGAAAAATAGTTTTTAGTTTACTTTGTAGTGTCGGTTGCTACGTCAAGCCCACATAGCTTATTCTAGCTTTCGGTCAGACTAATTTATACATTTTCCTTGAATCATATTTTGACCTTGTTAATTATTCGCTTATCAATCTTGGCTGTTTTTTTATGTAAGCGTGTGTATGTGCATTTCTTATCTTATCACATGGTTGTAACTCATTTTTATCTGACTACAGGCTCACATGCCTTCTCCGGTTTGTTTCACTTTGCTCTCTGCACTCTCACACTCGCTTTCCTGTGTGATTGCTACCTGCGTTGCTTGAGAATTTTTATTAATCATTAACAATATATACTACCTCTACAACTGGTATTCCGGATTTCGAACAATCTCGAGTAAATTCATGATACTACAAGGAGATTTGACCTTCATAAATACTCAGTTAACGGGATATTATTTATTGGAGTCAGATATAGGAAAATTAACCTCTACAACTTATGTGAAGTTTGTCTAATTAAATCAGCGACTAATTTGGTATTTTATTTAAACATACCTTTTTCCATATCATTAACATTTGTTTTCATTTCATTCAGCTGTTCTTCACGTTCATTTAATTGTCGACTGTATTCTACAACTTTTTCTTCATTCAATTTTGCTTTTATATCAAAATCATCTCGTTCACGTTCAATTTTTACAAGATGACGTAAAAATCGTCTTAATGCTAAACGTACAGCACCTGGATCTAAATTAGAGCCTGGCAAAGCATGTGTTCTATAACTGTTCATATGATAACGTATAGTATCTAACCATTTGTAAGACCAATCAGATAAATGTGTTAGATAATCAGGATGGAATAATAATCCATTTTCATCACCTGAATAAAATGTACTATCAATTAATCTCTGTTGATCAGCTCTTTCAGTAGATGTTGATCGTAGGGCAAATCCATCGTACCTGTTTACTGTAACGGAAGACACATGACCCATGTTTTATTAAGCAGTTAGTACAAATCAAAATATAGATAGTTTCTCTTCACTTTAGAATATCCCAATAAATAAAGTTATTTTACCACAACAGCGTGTGTCAACCAGTAGACAAATGAGAAAGTTACGTTTCTTCCTATTTGAATATATATATCAAAGGCATTATTTGTAAACAAGGATATTGTGAGATAATTGGACAAAATAATAAAATTTCCCTATATCTTAACTTTTATCGACTGTAATCTGATTTCGAATAAGATTACTTTGTTAAATTAATATAAAACAAATTACTTTTAAGAAATGAGACTTCTCTGTCTGTTAAGCGTTTCAGCTTTTTAATGGTTATGTGATTTTACTACATCTGTTTACAGACTTTGTTTTCATGTAAAGCAATATATCCTAATCTATATGATCCATACCTTGAATGATATGTCAGTTGAATCACAAACAACTGAAAGTAACTTGCAATCTGATGTTGACTCAGATAACTTAGTAGCCGCCTGATCTACTGAATTTGATCAGCGTTTAGGATCAGGATATATAACATTGATTACAACTCATTGGGGAATCATAAAGAAAACTCATTCATTTCGGGGGGATGTGCAACTAGGATATCTTACTATTAGTGTCACTAAATTACACGAGTCTGAATACATGAAGAAACGTCAGTTTCCCCATGATTGAAGGCTACCTCTGCCGATAAGTATCAGCCAACGCAAATAGTTGGTCAAGGACTCCCAGCTAATCGTATCAAACGATCCACAGAATATATTCTTTGACTGGTTAAGGTAACGATAGTCCACAAACCTTAGCTATAATTATGTCAGAACAGAAAAGACTTCATAAAAATCCGACTATTCTATCAATAAAACAGTTACATATAAAATACGTCACAGATTATACATAAAAATGAATTGTTTTAAATTTAGACAATTGTGAATGTAAAGAGATTAAATTATGCTGACTGACAAATTATCTGAGACTTAAAGTATTCTGTCACACTTCTTATCGTCATGTCACAGTGCATCTAATCTATACTTGTTTTATTGGTTGTATAATTGTGTTGCTTAAAGGGTAGTTTTCAAAAGTTTGTTTAATTTATGAGAATGATTGTAATATAGTTACCAAATGAGACTTATTAAAGTTGCATGTGTTCAATACTTAATATTTTAGACTTCAGGGTAGTCATAAACTATTAAGCCAATAATTAAGTTTTGGACTGTTAGGTAATTAACTTTATTTTCAATGAAGCATACCTCTTGTTGGTGAAGCCGATTTAGCGCGTCTTAAAGATTTTTGTCGGGTGTATTCTGGATCGGAATTAGTATAAGCTTCATATCGGCGTCGACCACGGACACGTGGTTTTGGGAATTGTTCACTTCTAAATGTATACAATACTTCAGGTTTTATGTCTTGTTGACTGCTTAATACTTTTTCAGCCATCATTTTTAATTTTTTAGAATCTGAATCATTAAAACCATCGATTTGCTGTTCAAATGAATCTATTCCAGAAGTATTCTTCATATAACCATCATAATCCCATTGTGAATTAACATCATGTGATTTGTCCAGTTCATCTATGTGTTCAGCTAAACTAGAGTCGAAATTATCATTTAATTGTTGTCTTTGTTGTTGCTTATTCATATTTTGTAATTGAGTAGTATATTGAGATTGACGGAAACCAAGTAAACGTCTTAATATACTATGTATTGCTGATAAACGTGCCTCAGCTTCTTGACGTGTAGTCAATGTTTCATTCAATTCTGATTCTAATCCTTTAATACAAGTTTGTGATTCAGCTAGTAATGTTCGAAGTTCACTGATAACTATATTTGAATTGTCCAACTGAAATAGTAACGAGTACAATAAAATCAACCTAAAATTTACAGATTATCGCATAAGATTTTAAATACATGCAGTGTACACAAACTTGATAGGCTATACTAAGTTAGTAAATGATCAGTTTTTCTTATGTGACGTGAATTTATGTAATTTTTATGGGTTTCCATTTGAGAAGCTTAGTTCTACCTTTATTTATAAGACCAATATCCTTAAGAACTCTGTTGGATGCAACTTAGGATAACCGACATAATGTATGACTATCGTCATCTGGAAAATCAATGAGTTTTTAAAGGGTTCATTTGATGGTGTCACTTTGTGATAAAATTTGTCTTCAAATATATAAAAGTCTCCGAGATACCATCTTACTGAATTTTGTATTCATTATTTTATAGAATAGCTAACCGATGAATTAACTGATTAGAGTTTTTATCAATAAATAGAATAGAATATCAAATGAATTATACAAGAGGTTTTTATTTCATTCCCTGGAAAAAAACAGTCGGTGTTATTTACTATGAGAATTTAATTAAACTATATGAATTTGTAGTGTTTTTGATTATCTTGTTGTTGATATTTTGACTGCATGCTGGTCAGTCTTAGTTGGGATGTGTATCCTGTAAGAATCGCCTTGATATAGTAACTATTTCACAAGTTTATATCCGATAGGTGAAAAGTGGCTGGTAATAGATAACACGTTGGTGTTTAGAGCTAAAAGTATTACATTTTAATCCTGGAGCGAATAACTTTGTGATGCAAGTACGCCTAACTGACGAGTCTCAAATAGAGTGGAATGCGCATTCTGAATTCCACTGCTAGCCACATTTTATATGTTATATATATTTGTTGTTATCTTGTTCTACAATGGTGGACGATCTAGACTAAAATTACAAACAAACACTATACGTTCCTCAAAAAAAAATAAACATCACTAGTAACTACTAAAACATCCGAAACCATCCATGAAGATTTCATGTTGATCAACCGTATCTTAATCCTATTTATTTTAGTTTATCTAATTAATAAATTAGCCATAGAAATATCAAATTTAACCATGATATACTTTCGACTGTAAGCTCTTCCTTGATTCAACTAAACGTTGATAATCTTTTTGCCAATCTTCTGCCGCTTGATTTGCTGTTCTTTCTCTTGAACGAAGTATTTCTTCTAGTTCAGACATTTGATGATTTAAATCAGTTAATTCAGATTGCAATGTCGATTTCGCTGATTCAATTTCCATTAATTTTTGTTTTAGTGAAACTTTCTCACTGTTATATGAAAGAAAATAAAAGTAGTTCCAAAAAGCTTATTGATATGATTCGCGAGTATATCTTTTATTTGCGTAAAATAGGATCAAATAATATAATCACTTATCATTGTGATTTTATTAATTATTTTTATCATCATGAAACAGAAATTGACGTAAATAATACATTGAACACATTTGAAATTATCTTCCTTCAATTATCCTTTACATACTTTATTCTTTCAATATTATTATTATTCCGATTGCTCTTCGTTTTCCTTAGTCTTCTCTTTATTTCACTCATCTGCCGGTAAACATTCTACTACGAATTCCTGATACATACTACTTATGTCTGTCTACATAAGTAGTACACATCACAATACTATTCGTTTGCCTAAACCGAATTAGATCTAGTAGGATTTGAACTTTTGATTTACAAATGGGAACAAAATCTTTTAAACACTAAATTACAGAACGTGATAATGTTAGATTTATTCGTTCATTTACTAAAATTTTAATTTAGACCATTGAAATACGTTATTTTATACTAATTAATTTACAGAATGTTCAAAGTTGAGCAACGGTGACGATTTCTAGAATAATCTGGATAAACGGACTGACATTTTATAACCTTGTGAGTTTATAATGTTTTAAGTCAAATTATTTAAACAAAAGTAAGCTGTCACGAGAAGAAGCGAACAAAAATATTTGTTGGATGGGTTTAATAAATAACTCATATTACCAAGATGTATCTATAAAAATCATATTTTAGTTGTAAAATCTATATTGTTTACTTTGCCTTACATAATAGAGGTTTCTAGAAAATTTTCTTCACTTAATATAATTCAGACAGCTAGATGAAGTATCTTTTAACAAACTGGGCTGAACACTATTTTTGCTTTCGATCTCTGAATTATACTAATTTGTGGTCACATGTAACTACGTGATGAGATGCAGTATACTGTTGTATGCATAATATTAACTATTAATCGATATTTAAGTAAATATAAGTAGAAGCAGAAAATAAAAATCAGCTTAACTACTACCACTCTCTCTCCCTCTTCGCAATTCAACCAGGTATGCATGTAGAAGAACCCCTAAAGTTTCGTACATCTCTTAGTTAATATTAAATTTAATAAGATAACAATTTAGAGATATAGGTCTTGTGTTTTGGTAGTATATCCATAGTACATGAAGATGCTTTTAAACTGTTTAGATAATATTTGTATGTGAAGAAAATGATTTTTCAACCAGAAGCTTAGTTTGATTTCCACTAATTTCATTTAGATTTAAAAACTTAATATTTAGTTATTGCATTAGATAACATATATTAGTTAATAGCAGAGATAATCGATAATAGAGCTACGTTTAATAAAAAACTAGGCACTATGACTTCCGCTGTTTGTAGTTGGAGCAGTGTGATAACATTTTTCAAATTTGATGTGATTCAGTGTTTAGTTTCCGATGGTACATTTACATTGATAACACTACTTATTTTTGTTCTCTGTGAATTGCTGAATTATGAATTGCGGTCCTTCGAAATGCGATAAATAAACTCACCTTGGTGTACCCACATTGTGTTTTTAAGTATATTGTTTACTCATCTAGTGCTAAATAAAATTTTCAAATGAAAATATTTGAAGTATACTTCCTTAATTGGTTAAAACAAGAAGAAAAGCTTTGATTTTATGCAATTAAGTTTGTTAGTTAATCTTATTATGCATCATTTTGCTCTAAATTGAATATTGATGAATGAATCAGTCACATTTATGCTTAAAAACAAAACAACAAACCGTTTTAAACTTTCTTCTTGATTTACGCTTTCTCTTAATCGAGCTTTCAACTCTTCGATTTCTTCAGTTAATTTCACATTTTCGGATTCAACTCTTTGTAATTTACCGCGTAATTCCACAATTTCACGTTTACTTTCATTTGCTAAACTTGTAGCTTCTTTCAAACCAACTTGTAGGTCAGCTACACGTTTCTCTGAACTTGTTCGATCCATTTCAGTGCCTTGTAGTTTAGATTTTAGTGAATTAGTCATACGAACTAAATCGACACGTTCTAATTCAACACATTTCAATTGTTTTCTTAATTCTTCATTAGAACGATTTATAGCATTTTTCTCACGTTCCAATTCACCAAGTTTTTGACTTAGTTCACTGCATTCTCTTCTTGAAGAATCATTTATTTCTTCCACTGATAAAAACAGAAGAAAATATTAATTAGCATATTAATTAAGTAAACAGAAATGGAATTGGCATTTTGAATTACTACTGTAAAAATGTTTGCAAAGAGATAAGTCTCTTATATTTAAAGTTAATGTCTATAAAGCAATCTTTATGATCGTTTAACTCATACTACTAAAATGTGATTCATTTCACTTTATTTGTAAAAGTATTGTAAATAAAAGTACAGATAATCGAAGTCAGGTAACGTAAGAGAAATTTCCAAATTTCTTTTTTAATCTCTTAGTAACTCTTTATATTTGATATAGTCAAATAATAAATTTTATGTTTAATTTTCGTAGCACTTTGATATCAGTCGTTTAACAAGAAAAACGTCAAACAATATTCTATAGATAATACTTTCTACATTAAAATACCTTGTATCTACTTAACTGATCTTTTACTCCCAACCAGATTATTTCTGTTTCCATGCTCTTTCTGATGATTATATTTCATCACAACTTCAAAACTTTATCTTACTATGTTACGCAATCTTTTTTCACAATTATTAATCTTTACATATTCTATTGACACTCACATCTTTAGTCACTTGATAAAAATAACATTTTTATTCTCTTGTTTATTTTACCCCTTATCTGCTACTATGTTTGGAAAATTATAATTATCATTAACAAGAATCATTATTAGTACAGAGGATCTGTGCAGATTTTACAATTTTTACAGATTAAATTACGAAATGACGTTGACTAGATCACCATCAAAAACATGGGAGGACTAACTGGCTGTTTCACCTTAGTATGGGACTCCTAAGCAGTGATCACTCATGATCTCACACTCGGAAATCGAACTTAGGACCTTCAGTGTCGTGCATGGACGCTTAATCTCTATATCACTAAGGTGGCATTCTAGCTTCAATCAAATCATGGTATTGAGTAACCGTTATTCATTTCCTGTGGTAGAAAATTACCTCACACCCGACACGAATTTAACTCCATTGGCTACGGCTTCTCACTAACACTCGAGGAGTTATATCCTGAGGCTAGTGACTAGTGAATACATAAATATTATTAATATTGCCGGATTTGTGGAAATTGCAGAATTATTGCATATCGTTTTGGAAATAAAGTATACATTTTCAACCTTAAAACTTTGGAAATGAATTCACTGAAAAAGGAACTCTTCACTGGACCAATCTTTCGCATTTTTATGTCACAATCAGTATATTTTAATATTTTTAAAATAGTTAACTTATTGGAAAAAAGTGTCACCAAAATCATTTTAAAATTAAAAAAAAAAGCAATTTCGAAACAAATAACTTAAAGTTATTATCATGTAATATCAAATAAATCATTGTATATTAAAATGGATTATTATATACTTACAAGCACGAATACGGTATGTACTATCTACTAATTCTGTATGATTAGTATCTCGAACCTCTTCAGCCAAACGAATTTTTATTTGAAGTTCACTAACTTCTTTTGTCCACTGATCTTTTTGACTTTCAAGACTGTGTATACGCATTCGTAATTCCCGGTTTTCTCTTTCATGTTCAGAACTATTCACAAATAAAACGATTAATCTTAAAATACAGCATATTATAAATATGCATAAATTATTAAATGGAACAGAACAGTTCATTTTTATAACTCTGTATTGATTGTAAATTGTTATTTAATATATTTTGAATGAGCGACATGAATGCCACTTCTATGTAGTTCTTTGAATAGCATCTAAGATGTTGTTTCATTTTTCTTAAAAAAATAAATTTCATTAACGAATCATGGTCCAAGTACATAATGAAGAAGAAAAATAAGTGAATCTAGTTAGTTAGATAAAGCAGATTGGTTTGGTTTAAAGATATATTTACTAACCATACTGACTGTTCGAAGAAGTGTTGACAACTGAGAAACGCTACATAGGTGCTTTGTTATGGTATGTGCACTCACAAACTGACAACCTGACTAAATTTGAAAATATAAAGCAGTGAATTTCAACCGGCCTTAAAAACCTAAAGATCTTGATTTTGACCTTGTATATGGTTATGATTATACATTGATAAATAGTTTTAAGCCGGGTTTTTTAACGGTTTCCCGGTTGATTTTAGTTCGTGACGAAAGTTCCTAACAAACAATGAGTTTCTAAATTTCAATCCTGTTTGAAAAATACTAGGAATTATAAACTAAGACATAAATAAACATTTAAAAAGACATACAGGGAAGCAATCAAAATAAATTAGAAATGAGTAAAGATCGTTTTCAAGCAACTAATTACCTTTAAAAACCTTTTCTGAAGCTAGAACAATAAATTATGAATCAAACTCATTTCATATTGTTTACACAAATGTTGCTTTTTAATGAAGCTATTATAAAATAATCAAGTTCAGTAATGAAAAAAACAACAACAGTGCTTTCCATAACCATACAAATCTGATCTTTTTGATCACAGAATAAAAAAGAGCGATCACAAATTAATTAACATTATGATCTAAACAAAAAAAATACTCAATGGATTGACTGGAATATCAACGATAACTCGTATTTTGGTTAGAAACTTCGTATCATTTGACGTGATGCTCACAATATTGTACATAAGTATTTAACGGGTACGAGTAGAAAATTATAAAAGTTTGTAAAGATAAGGTAACTTTATAAAAACGTTCTGTTCAGAAACAAAAGATTTAACATTGAACAATCATACATAGGAGTGTCAAGTAACTATGATTAGTCAAGCTTATTGTTTTTGGTGAAGATAAAGCCATGCTAACACATAAATTTTATAACCGGATTGACAAATTCAGAATATACCACTTTTTTTACCTGCTCATATGTGTTTATAGACAGTTGTATATAAGGAAGAGTAGACGATACTTTAATAGATCATTTATTTAAATAAAAATGAATATACGCTAAAGTGTTTACTGATAATATTGAAGTGACTGTAGAAAACTTTAAATTAAGTAGTACTTGTAGACAAACTTTACTTTGATGGCATTTATTTTGACGAAAGGAAAGAAAAATATGGGTCAAAAGTTCAGTGTATTTCATTTTGTGAAAGTTTCCAGACGTTTAGCAACTTTACTTCGACACAAGACCTTAATCTCCAGTAAAATAATATATCTATCAACCTGATTTACTTAAGCGAATTTTTTTCTTTATGTGTTAACATTTGAGTAGAGATTTTTAGTTACTGATACGTATTACAAGTCTCAATAAAATTTAAGGGAACAACTTGACGTTTAAGTAATACAAAAGTGAGATAAAATAATGTGAAATGAAAACTAACCATGCTTCTTGCAATTGATTTCTAAAGCTCCTAACCTCTTCAGTAGCTTTTCTCAATGCCGACCTCTCGCGATCTTCTCGAACACTTGCATCCTTCTGTGTTCTCTCTAGTGTGATCTGTAATTCAGTAATCTGTTAAGAATTAAAAAAAAACGATTATC